CCGGTGATTAGGGGATTTTCATTTATAGTTCATGGACTGGTCTGGTCCTTCGACTTCATATTCCTGAAGTTTCAGAAAAATCGTTGGGAGCCGTTTTAAAAAAATAAGAACTCTACGATTTGACCAAAAAAAATTAGAGCGACAAAGTTTCTAATTTCCACAGTTTTGAACTGCTTTCTGCTCAGAAATGTCTCCAGCTATCCAAAAATGTAAATATCTGAGGAATCCATTGAGAATTAAGAGAATAATGGCCGATTTTCAATTTTCGTGCACGTTAAAGATTTGACGCATTTCTGCTATGCACACAAATTTCATTTTACCTCTATGCACTAACCACCACCCATTTTCACCGGAGAAAACCAAACTTCAGACCTCTATCTCTTATAGTTGCTGAGATCTAGCTTCCCCCAATAAAAAAAAAAATAATAATAAGAATAATCTTAGTAATAACAATAGTCTTTCACCGAAGGTGAAAGCCTAATTAATCTTAGTAATAACAATAGTCTTTCAGCTAAGGTGAAAGCCTAATAATATTAATCTTAGTAATAACAATAGTCTTTCACCGAAGGTGAAAGCCTAATAATCTTAACAGAAACAATAAGCTTTCATATGTAATACATATGAAAGCTTAAAAAAATAAATACATGTTTAAAACCTATTGTAAAATGATAAATCAAAGTAAAAGTTCACGTAAAATATTATTGTTTATATCGCGTGTGTCTAGTTAATCGAGGTGCGCCCGATTGAACAAAAATAGTAATACACGATAAAAAGCAGACGAAATTGTTTTCTAACAAAGATTTCTAACGTAACAAAAAAATAACAATTAAAATGAGTGGGGCTTGTGGCAGTGCTAAAAAATCTAAGAATAGTCAGAATGGAATGTAATCATATTTGTTATGAATTAAAGCGGAAATTTCAAATTTTTAAGTTATATTTTTAAAATTTATTAAAATAAAGCCTTAAAATAGATGGTATCCATAAACAGTCCTACCTTGTTAAAGAATAATCCTATAATTCACTATTGCAAAAATATCATTTTCAACTTCAAATTCCAACACTGAGGAAATGGCTGACCATTGTTTTCAATAGGAAAACAAGGGAGGTAATTGTGTTGTTATTTCCTGTGTAAATGAGTTTTAAGTGTGAAAATGACACCTATGATCGTATAATAGTGGGTTGATAACCTATTGAGCAAAAGACATAGAAATAATTATGTTTTGACTTTCTTAGAAAATATGAAATTCTCGCTTTAAAGTAATATCTTGTTATTTAGGTGTTTTACGTTGAAACTGAAAAACTGCTAATCAATTTTTAAATTTGCTAATCAAATTTGGCAAAATTGGACTTTTTGATTAGCAGTGCGGCTAATCAACTGTGAAAAATTACCGACAGCCCTGTATGAGATTAAAGATATCGAAAACAAAAACTATGCTAATTACGACGCAACAAAAAAGAAATACCCTCCCTGCTACTTTGAATATTAAATTACGTAATGAACCATTAGTAGTCATCTCCTCAGTAAAAATATTGGGTGTTTTTCTCAATCATAATCGAGTATATCTCTAAAAAATTAAGCCAGAAAGTTTTTCAACTCCGTCAAATTAATCCTTTTAATAGCCTATGTTGTCATTGTCACTAAAAAGCTTAATGCAGGAGAGGGAGAAGACTTTCGACAAACTTTTATACCCAAAACAGTTTTATTTTAAAACATTGTCTAAATAACAAGAATTTCATAAGTTTTCTAAAACTTTATTTATCTGAACCAATTTATTTGAAATGATCAATCCTTTTATATTTCGTTAGAAACACCCAGGACCGACTCAGACTGAAGACATTGGAAAGACAGGGGTCGGTTCAAAATAATCAAACTGTCGAGAGTAAAACTTTACCACAAAAAGTGTTATATAACAAACCGTAATAAATAGCACTATATGAAGGAAACACACATGAACTGTTCAAACAACAAGTTTTAATTGATTACTGTTTAAAACTAGCTACAGCTTTTTATGTTTTAAAATCTCACATAAGAATATTAGATGGTCGACCGTGTCGGGATCCAGATTTGATCTTTTAGTGGTAACTATATTTACCGCTGGGGAAAACACACGCTCTGATGGTACCAAGGTGGCTGGAATACTAACATAAGATTTGGCCAGTCATGGCTATCTAAATTTAGCAGAGGAAATAAACAAAGACCACGTGTATACCGCGTGACTTTGCCTGAATGTGTTGAATAGCTACAGCTCTAATCATCGGCAAATATACGCCCACAGCAGCTAAATCGTCCGGGCATAGTATACGAAACATTTAATATCATGGATTTACCTGAACAGGCAACGGAACATACGCCCACTGCAGCTAAATCGTCTGGGCAGTCAACAAGAGTTGTTGCATATGTTTACTTTTGTCGGTAATGAAACATTTATAATACACTCAAATCTGATTAAGAGAAACAACCCATTAAGTAATTATCAGAAAATCATAAGAATTTGTTGGACCCATGCTAACGTTTACAAAACATTTAATCAGGGATCTTAATCGGCTGTTTTTTGTCGGCTTGAGTCGCTTGCAGTTAAATCAAGCCGATTGGTAAAACAATGAACCGGCCACTATGGTATCATAAATCAATCTACTTTCGGCTAAATTACAACGGGTTAATTATGTTTCAAAATGGTTTGTTTCAAAATGGATTAAGAACCATGCATTTAATATCATGGATTTAGCTGTTCAAATTATCAAAGATAGGTTGCCAGGCAATGAAACATACGCCCACAGCAGCTAAATCGTCGGAGCGGTCAACAAGGGTTATCGCATATTTATTCCTTTTTAGGTAATTGGGGGCCTTTACAAGACAGTTCCATACAGATCAGATTATAATTTTTGCCATTTGAGGGTTCACAAGGTTCTACAAACTGAAACAAGGGTCTCAACTCTGGAAGTAATCTACAGAAATTGTTGAAATTTGACAGGCTTTTTCGTTTTACTAATTTAAATAATGCATATAAATTTCATACTGATCAGATGATCACTTTTGTCATTCAAACGTTCACAAGGTTCACAACCGCCATAACTCTAGAAATTATTGACGGAAATTGCTGAAATCCAATAGACTTCTGCTTCACACATTTAAATGATGCATATAAATTTCATACATATCGAGCATTAACAAGGTTGAAAAAAGTGAAACAAGGGCCATAACTCTAGAAGTAATAAATGAAAATTGCTGAAATTCAATAGGATTCTTCTCTTTACTAATTTAAATGACACATGCAAATTTCATATAGATCTGCAGTCGCAGATAACTTTTGATGTTAGAGCGTTCACAAGGTTCAATAGTGAAACAAGGGCCATAACTGTTAAGCGTAATAAACAGAAATTGTTGAAATTCAATAGGCTTCTTCGTTTCACTAATTCAAATAATGCATATAAATTTTAGAGAGATCGGATGATAACTTTTGGCGTTAGAGCGTTCACAAGGTTAAACAAAGTGAAACAAGGGCCATAACTCTAGAAGTAATAAACGGAAATTGCCGAAATTCAATAGGCTTCTTCATTTCAGTAATCTAAATAATGTATATAAACTTCAGAAAGATTGGATGATAACTTTTGGTGTTAGAGCGTTCACAAGGTTAAACAAAGTGAAACAAGGGCCATAACTCTAGAAGTAATAAACGGAAATTGCTGGAATTCAATAGACTTCTTCGTTTCCCTAATTTAAATATTCCATATAAATTTCACAAAGATTGGATGTTAACTTTTCGCATTAGAGCGTTCACAAGGTTCAACAAAGTGAAATTTAATAGGCTTCTTCATCTCACTAATGCAAACAACATATATCAATTTTAAAACAACTGGATGATAACTTTTGACGATGGACGGACGGACAGACGGGGGCGACAGCAATATACGTCCACATTTCTATGTGTTCGCATAAAAATCATTGAAAATTAATATACTTGTTCGTCTCAAGACCTTTAACTCTGTATCAATCTGAAGTCAATCGCAACAATTATATGTAGGCGTAAACACGGTGTATAAATATAAAATCAATCAGATGATAACTATGGTCTCTAAAAGCATCCACAAGATTTTTCAAAGTGATCAAGGGCAGTATTTATCAGAAATCGTGAAATGAAATGAAATGGGGTTTAAAGTCCTACTGTTCTGCTCCTATACTGGGCTAATGAAGACGGGCATACGCCATACAGTGTGCTATGAGGGAAATTTTGCCCGGGCAGCGGCACTATCGCCTACTCTTATATCGAATTCCAACTGCCAAGGGATCTTTTACCTGCATTCCAATGTATACACGGGACCTCGGTTTTTCGTCTCATCCGAAAGACTAGACAGCTGTCCTTGTCAGGCCCTCCGTTCTGCACCACTGAGAAGGGGAAACCACGTCGGAAAATCCAGATGAACTTTCTCGGCCAATGCAGGGATTGAACACCGGACCTCCAGGCTAGCGAGCCAGAGTCTTAACCACCTAGCCAGCGTCTTAACCACCTAGCCACCATGGCCCCCATCGGAAATCGTTGAAAATCAATAGGCTTCTTCATCTCATGACCTTAAGATATTAACTTTAGCCTCTAGAGCGTCCACAAGATTTTTCAAGTGATCAAGGGTCATAACTCTGGAAGTAATTATCGGAAATCAGTGAAAATCTACAGGCTTCTTCGTCTCATGACCTTAACCACTGTGCATAAATTTAAAGTTAATCGGATATTAACTTTAGCCTCTAGAGCATCCACAGGCAATTGTGGACGCCAAACTGACTGACGAACGGACGGATGGGGGCGACAACATATGACTACATTGCAATATGGGCGTATAAAAATTGAAATAAGCATCAATTAAGCCATATTTGTACCAATAAATTCCTATCTTGTGGTTTTATCAAGATGTCAATTTTATAAAATGTTCTTTATTATCTTGATCATATAGCTTCCATACAAATTCTTCAATCCAAATCATGTGATTTGCAAAATCTAAATACTTACTCAACATAAAATGGAATTGCTTCCTCTGTGTGTTTTTTCTCCCATCCATCCATGATGATATCTAAAAACAACCATTTATAAACCAATCTTAGCAAATCACTCTGTTCTTTCATGTTAATTGATTAATTTTTTAATAATAAGATCAGAGGTGTAAAAAAAATTTTGAATTCACTAGTCCAGGGCTAGTTGTCTACTGTCAAAGACACTAGCCCAGCATTTTAAATTTCCACTAGTCCATAGTTGGACAAGGTACAAGCTTTAATCTTCAATAATGTGCACTGCAGATTGTCTCCCATTTGACCACATTAAATGAAGTGTCTAAATGAAGTGTATACTTATTCTCAGATCTCAATTATTCGCGCTTATGTTTTTGTTGCTTCCCAACCTATCTTTTAAAAACATCGTAGACTTGATTGGGTAACAACAAGCCAACAGTGAAGCTGATGTCCCCCAGCGAAATCCCAACATAAATAGATGACACATATTAATTAATCGTACATTTATTTTTTTCAAAAGTATCAAGCAATCAAACCGATTATCAACTATACACCAAGTTTCATTACTCTCTATCAGATAGAATCAAAGTTATCTGGTCCCAAAGCATCAACCAATAAAATTGCTTAGCTCTGTATAGCTTTAGTTAGAAATGTTAATCATTGAAATCAGTCAAGACATTCACCTAATGAACATCAACATCAAGTTTAAACATTCTACCTCAATTAAAAGCAGAGTTGTTATGTCCCAATGTCTTGACCAAGCAAATTTCTTAACGATCCTTAGCCTAAGCAGAAAATTCTCATAATCAAACTTAGTCATGGTAATGATATAATGAATCTATACTCAGAGTTTCATCACTCTCACTTAATTAAAGGAGCTAACATTTGGGACCCACAAATTGACACAAATGGGTCGCAACGTATATAATAATGTAATATGAATGTAAATAAACTGATTTACATTAAATCATTTCCGTTTTTACTCTAATTTCAAAGCGAAATACGCCAGAAGTCTTAATCGAATGGCAATCTCTTTGTCTGGTTATTCCAGTCTACACCGATAGTATTTATTGCGCATGCTCTCCAGATAAGAATATCAGGTCACCCTTTGACATGACTTGTGGAATATGTATAACCTAGTTCTTCGAGTCGCTTGCTACAAATTGCGCTGAAACGTATTATGGTACATGAATCGTGTACCAATCGTAAAATGTTTATTTTGTCTTAAATACTGGATGTCAGAAGACCATCTTTTCTCGGTAAGATCACAAATGTTGATTACAATTGACAAATAATTCGTGTTTTCAATGTCGAAGGTTTTGGATGATATTGACTTAGCTACTTTAAAACCAAAGTTATTGGCCCTAAAGCATCAATCAATCAGATTGCTTATCTCTGCTTACCATAAGCAAACAATGTTTATCATTGCACTCCATCAAGGCATGAACGCCTACACCAAGTCTGAACATTCTAGCTCAATTAGAAGGAGAGTTATTGTGTTCCAAAGTCTCGGCCAATCAAATTGTTTATCGCTCTGCTTACCCTGAGCAGAAAATGCTCATTATCGAACTTAGTCATGGTAATGATGTAATGAAACTATACACCAAGTTTCATAACTCTCACTTAATTACAACTAAAGTTATCGTGTCCCAAAGCATCAACCAATCAAATTGCTTATCTCTGCTTACCCTAAGCTGAAAATGCTTATCTTTGAACTCCACCTACAGCAAGTTTGAACATTCTAGCTCAATTAGAAAGAGAGTTATTGTGTCCCAAAAAGTGTGACGGACAGACAGACGAATGGACAGACAGACGGATAAACCCATTTTAATAGTCCCCTGCTTTCTCCGAAAGGTGGGGGACAATTAAGGATGTAATAAACGGCTACTTGGTTAACCGGTCACGGTTCGGTTGCACAGGTAAACCGGTTCAAAAAATTCTTAACCGGTATTCATTTTCATATCATATTTGACCTTCAAACCCAGGGATGGTAGCCACAACAATGTTTTCTTTTACTAAAGACCACATAAATACTTCATTTAGCACTTGTCATTTGTAATAAATCATGGGAAGTTAACGTTTTTAAATTCCCGCTCCAAGTTTTGCATTACTTATTAGCCTTCGCTGCCGGTAGCAAAATTTACTCAAATCCACCATTATTTCAACTCATATAATAATAATTTTTATCTATATTTAATAATATACTGTTCTTTATACCAAATTGCCATTAAGGTTTCACACTGCTTACCTTGTGTGAAACACTATTGTTTTTGTTCGGATTATTAATCTTATTATTTCATATGAAAGCTTAGGGTTAGACACAGCGTAGCTTGTGTGAAACACTATTGTTTTTGTTCAGATTATTATTTAAGCTTTCATATTTCATATGAAAGCTTATTGTTTCTGTTAAGATTATTATTAAGCTTTCATATTTCATATGAAAGCTTATTGTTTCTGTTAAGATTCTTATTATTTCATATGAAAGCTTATTGTTTCTGTTAAGATTATTATTAAGCTTTCATATTTCATATGAAAGCTTATTGTTTCTGTTAAGATTCTTATTAAGCTTTCATATGTATTACATATGAAAGCTTATTGTTTCAGTTAAGATTATTAAGCTTTCATATGTATTACATATGAAAGCTTATTGTTTCTGTTAAGATTATTATTATTATTATTATTTTTTTTTTTTTTGTGTTTTTCCTGCAAATCTTATATCTCAGAATCTAACCGTGGGATCTTTCTGAAACCTTGACCTACCCCCCAAAGAATGGGTGGTGGCTTTGGAATAGGTATGTTTTCAAAACGTTTTACAAATCCGAAATCACCGAATTTTACGAACGAATGTATTTGACCTACATTGCTGTAACTTTGTGACTTTTTGACCTATTTTACTAAAAAAAAATTCTTTGAGTACCTTGAATCATTTACTTCAAATCTGCTATTTCGGATTTTCAAATTTCAAAAATTCGTCGCTGTGATTTCGAACCGGAAGTTAAAATCAACTTGACAACTTCTTTAATAGTTGCACGATTTTCATGAAATTCAGTATATATGTAGATCTTACCGATACAACTTGAAAAATGTCATTAGAAATTTTCTGTATTATCTCCCCTTGATGAAATTAAGGATCCAATTTTTAAAAAAAATCAACGAAATATAGTTCCGATTGCCTTGAAATTGTATTTCTTTACTAGTTACGACACTACTGATTCGTACACTAAAAATGGAGTTTGTATCCCAAACCGGAAGTGCCACCATCTTGAAATGTGAAATATCGCTACGGCTTTTTTGATATTTTACTTACAGACAAGAGGATTATATTTTCCAAATCCTTGAAGGAAAGCCCATAAAATGTAGGCAGTAGAATTTTGATTTAGGTCAACTGATGGACGCCATTTTGAATTGAAAATGAAAAATAGTGAAAAATCCACATTAATGGGCTTGAAAACATACACAATTTGTCGTGACTTAGAGAATGTGTCTCCTATTACCGAAATTATTACATTTCATTATAGCCTGGATCATGGTCGAGTGTTTGGTATTTGAATATTTCAAAAATTTGGATTTCGCCTTTGATGTTTTCCGTGCCGACAAGGTTGTTTTCGAGTTTAGCTAGTTTTGAATTCGCGCATGCGTTACACAGGAACCAACGGTACCATGAGTACTAAATTCCGGCGAGCAACTTTTCACGTTGGTACCTAGGTACCCTGAAAATTTCAAGGTGATACCTGCATTCGTTCAAGTCGTTTTTTCTTGTCACCTGCCTTTCGTCGGTTTTTTTCGAAGTCAATTTACGGCTTCCATGAGGAGAAAAAAGTGGAATTTCGCCGTGACACAGGCACCGATTGTCCGAAAACCATGAAATTTGGACACAATACACCCATTACCACCCCGGACTCTGTGCTTTACCCCCATTTTGATACCATTAAAAAAAGAGTTTTACATAAGCTTACATATTATTATAATCCCTATGAAATATTTTAATTATTTACTGCTATAATATGAATTATCACTTATTCCCCATTAAATAAATATCGGTCACCGGGTGCAGCTGTACAACTTCAAGGACCCTGGCCTCAAGTGCATGGGACCAACTCTACATTTTCTGAAATGTCAATAAAAGCCATGGAATGATTTCATTTAAAAAAAATAATCAGAAAGTAAATCTATTTTTATTTATATGCTATTTGTTGCCAGAAAATATATTTTGTTACTAGTCTAATTCAAATTTAAAAATAAACAATATTTTTTTCTGAAAATCAATGTCGAAATTTAGTGTATCATATATGATACAATGGGTCTGAGGCATATTTTATTGATATATAGAAATTAATGCAGTGTTCTCATTATGTGTTAAAAGAGTGCCAGAAATGTCTCGAAATTCAGCCATTTGTGTATTTAGTATATCAAGTATATGCGTGTATTACAAAGCTCTGATTTGTGTGATTTGTGTACACCCCGCCCCCCCCCCCCCCCTCGTCCTCGTGCAAGGATTATTGTCTAGTCGTTCGGATGGTACGAAAACCTGTCAAAGTGGTTCCCCGTTGGCAGTGGTGAAGTATGGAAGGCCTAGCAAGGATCTGTGTCTAGTCGTTTCGATGGGACGAAAAACGCCCGTCCCCTCATCCATGGTACAAGGATTAGTGCCTAGTCGCTTGGATGGTATGCAAAACAGAGGTCCCCTATCTCTCCCTTTGTCCGTGGTTCTTGACCGAAGGCCCGACAACTAACTTTGCGTGCAGTTTTTTGGGTAGGACGAAAAATCGAAATCCTGTGTGCATATTGGCGTGCATGAAAAATAACCCTTTGCATTTGGAATTTTATGCACCCACCCCACCCTCGAACAACGCTTAACATAAGATTTAGTTTTCACTACCTACATTGTAAAATTTGTTTGATTTCAGATGACTTAGCCCCGGTTTTTCACAGTGAAAGATTTTGATGAAACTTGACATCCATGTTTATAACCCAAAGATATGGTTCCTTTCGATATTTGCGCATATCGAATCGTAACTTCATGAATTATGTTCCCTGATTGTAAGAAAAATCACTTTATATTTCG